TACAAAAAACAAGTACCTAAATGTAAACAAATAAAACTTTGAATTAAAAAAATTAAATGAAAGACTTTTTTCCCTGAAAATTTGAGCCAAAAACGTGGGTGAGCATTATACACGGGAGCGTGTTATACATGGCAAAATACAGTACAGTAAGTAAGTCCCCAACTTACAAACAAGTTTCGCTCCGGGAGAACGTTCCTAAGTCGGATTCGTTCATAAGTCCAACAAAGTGAGTCTTATATACTTTTGACACAAATATACAATGTAAAGCATAAAAAAACTGAACACACACATCTCTCTATTGCAATAGTCTGTAAATAAACTATTTTTACTTTTACAGTTACCTTAAAATGGTGGTACAGTACAACTGGCATATAGGGGATTGCATGGCGTGAACTGACAAGAGCAGACACATGAGCTACTTCTGTGATTTGTTCGCATCTATGAATGGCATCTATGAATGTTCATAATGGGAGGTCCGTTCGTATCTGTGAAAGTTCGCAACTCGAGTGTTTGTAAGTTGGGGACTTACTGTAGTCACTGACCTGCGTCACGCAGCTAGTCAGGGCCAGCTAGTAAAATGCCAATCCCTCCACTCCAGGGCTGGAGTGCTGGAAGGAAATGATAACTGCATCAAGCACGCACCTGAACTCCTGGCCTTGGCATCTACAGCCAGCCAGGAAGCCCTCCGGTGACGGATACACCAGGATAGGTGGGGACAACTCCTAGGAAGGCCAGGAGTGGGCAGAGGTGGCAGCATCCATCCCACCCAGGTGGGTTAGTTAGTGCTGGCACAGGTTGCTGGAGCACCTGAAGGCCTTTCCACAGGGGCCACACGCTTAAGGCCCACGTTCCAAATGCACAGTTAAGACCTCGGGTCCTTGCTTCTCAGGTGAGACTAAAGGGGAAAAGGAGATAGGTGATCACCCTAGGATGTGAATCCATCTTTCTTCTTTCTCTTGCTTCCTTGCCACCCATAGACTTCCAGCACACCCTGCACTTGGAGATCATTCAGTCTTGGGTAGGACATACCAGAAAAGAGTGCCACCTTGTCCATTAGAGTCACCAGAGCCTAGGTTACTGTCATCACTGCTCCTGGGCTGGTGACCATGTTAGAGTCACATTGCCTGAGGGAAGGCTCCATGCAGATCCCTGGAACCATCATGTGGGCTCTGGAGGAATGTCCATATTTTACCTTAAATATTCCAGGCTGGTCTGAGAGTGTTAAGGCAGTTTTTGGAGGTGTTACTGCAGAGGGGGGCCCTTCTCAATGAGATGTCCAGGCTTGGGTCTCACACCATGGATCGAACCCGGCAGAGCCTGGCTAGCTTCCCACACCGGGGGGTCAAACCCAGGCCTCGGGGAGGAAAACTGGGAATCCTAGCCATTACATTGCCAGGGGTTGGGCCCTCCTTGTCGTGGTGTCCAGGTTCTTGGTGTCTTGAGCAAAGAATTGAACAAGACACAGAGGTAAAGTGGTGAAAAAGAGTTTATTAGAAGAGATAGTACACTTCAAAGAATTAGGAGGGGGCCAAGCACAAAGAAAAGCAGTTCAAGGCCTTTTGTTAGCAAAAGTCTGGGGGTTTTATTTCTTTTCTCTGGGATGGGCTGTTCCCCTCTGGGTGCAGGACCACTTGATTGACACCTGTGATTGATGAATGGCTATTATCTCATCCTCTTAGACTGCTCAGTGACCCTTCCCAGATTCCAGTCTGCTATAATGATATTAATGAACTACCGGGTATATGTGGGATTTTATAATGATGTTATAATGAGGCAAGGGTGAGATGGAGTTTATTGTAGCCCCTTTATTGTGCAGGACCAGTTTAATTTATTGTCTTTTAGTGTCCTCACAGTTGTTAATGGCTAGGACAGATAAGGGGAAATTCGGGCAGTCTCCAGGTGGTGCTCTCCATAGATTGTGTTGGATGTACAGGAATACAGAGGCCCAATTATCAATACCTGTCTCTAACTGCCCGCCTTGTTTTCCCTGAGAGACGTGGTCCCCATAAATCTCTGTGGGGAGTTGAGGGGGTTTCTTCTTCTGTATCTGCTTCAAGCTGAGAAGAGGGGTAGAGCTGTCCCTACCTACTGGGGATTCACAAAACTCTCGCCTTATCTGACCTTAACTAGTAAAAAGGGGGGGTCTCTTCTTCCTTGGTTGGGGTGCACTGGAAGCCTCACTGGGACATAACTTCTATCTCGACAGCCCCTAAATGGGGAGAAACAGACATTAGTTAATAAATTAAAAGCACTGGCTCCAGGGATGGGACTCAAAGCCCATTTATCTTAACTTCAGGTGACGTTTGTTCACCCAGGGGTTAGGTCTGGACTGGCCTGGAGAAGTGTTTAAATTTTTTTGGTCTCTGGGATGGCATCTATTTATCCAAAAGTTAGGTCTGGAATGGGTTGGGGGAATGTTGGACTACAATGATTACAGTTAACAAGCTTAAGTCACAGGCTTTTAAGTAGTAGTTACTGGAAGCAACAGTGAGAAACATTCTTGATTTAGGCTAGGAGCAATCTTTAGTTTAGGATTTAAGAAACTGATTAGAAAAGTGATTAAGACCAGGGGCTAAGGACCTAAGAAACTAGGGTAAAGGAGACTTAAAATTCCTGTAGTGAGGGAGGCTTAAAACTTTTATAATGAGGGAGCTCTCCCGTATCAGAGGTGTTAACCCGCTGCCTTTTCAGACCACCCAGTGCTCTGATAATAAACGCTTACTCTATGACCCAACTCCTGTGTCAATTTATTGGCTGAGGAGCACAGGCAAAACTGGTTCCAGGACTCCTTTGGCCTCTGGGTGCCGTGGAACCAGACCTGGGAACTGTAAAGGAATATCAGGCTCTTACCTGAAAGGAGGGGAAGGGTGTTCACGTGAAAGCCTTCCGCTGGGAAACACACAACCCCGAAGGAAGGGTTCCAAGAGCCTCTAGTTCCACTGACCTGAATCTGTCATTCTGTTTAACAATTATTTGCTAAGTGTCTCCTATATGCCAGCTTTTGGGGCTAAAACAGGGAGCGAACCAGAACGAAGTAGTCTCTGCCTTTCTCTTAGAGGCCACAAATCGTGTTTTATTGGAACATGCTGCAACAAGGAACTCGCCTAGGCCTCATGGGGGCGACAAAGACCAAAATATGGATATGTCTCACCCACCTCAGCACTTGAGAGAAGCAGCTACAGATAACTATTATCAAGAGACAAATTCAGAGAGGGGCACGAACGTGTTCAGCATCACTAAAGAGTTTTATATAGGCGGAGACTAGATTTTGAAGGAGAAAGTCCTTTGGTGTCTCAAATTTAACTGAGGCCCATGAAGCTAACGAAGCTTCAGCTTCTGCGGCTCCTCACTTGTACAAACCCTTCCCTGAGTGATGAGGGTGGACAATTCAGAGTACTTAAGATTAGCAAGTACTAAATAATAATAATAATAATAATTTAAAAATCACAAAAACTTGCAATGCTCACAGCAGGTACATACAGCGCCTAGGGCCCATGATACTTTTATGGGCCCACGAAAAAAACTTAATATTGAAATCTGAAGAAAAAATAATCTAATCCAGCCTAGTTTATCTTCATCTTTATACAAACACAATCATAAAATATAATTTAAATATGTTTTTTTGGAATAAGGGGATCACAAAGACAGAAATGACAGGGCCCATGAAAGCACTGGAGATAGTGAACAATGTCATATCATTTCATATATGTAGCAGAATAAAAAAGACATACATGGGAATGAGAAACAGAAAATGCAAAATCTAATAATCTCAAATGAGGGAGGGAAGGAGGAGAATGGATACGGGTACATAGAGAGCTTAGATTGCATATGTAGTATATTTTATAATAAGTTTATTAGTGAGTACAGAGTTGGTTATATTATTCTGAATACTTTTCTATACAGAAATAGCTCATAATAAGATAAATATAAATGAAAGACTCCCTATGTGTATTAGTCAAGATAGAATAGGTTATGCTGCAGTAACAAACAACCCCAAAACTCAGTGGCTTGACACACAAAAAATGTGTACTTTAGATGCTACATCTCCAAGGAAGAGGATCACTGCAGATACTCTGGAACTTAGGCTGATTGGAAACTTGACTTCAGCCAGCAGATCCCCAAGCGTAGAATGGCAGGAATGGAACACAGTGACCGACTTGCTGGCTCTCACTGCGAGCTGAAGTTGACACACATCGCTTTCACTGATACTTCATTGGCCAAAGAAAAGCACATAGCCACGTCTAACTGCAAAGGGAAGTGCAATCTTACCACATTCCCAGAAGGAGGAGAAACCGAATTTAGGAATGATAGTAATGTTTAGGCATTACCTCTGATGCATTTCCACAAAAACCATTTAATGGTGTTCTAAAGGTCTTCCATATCTCTTTTCCCACTGGGTTTTCACAACACCTCTATAGTTTTACACATGAGAAAATGTATACGTGGTCCTGAGACGTGTAGTGACTTCAAGGTTACACAGCCAGGCCATGGAAGGAATAAGTGAACGGCCAGGAGCCCAGCCCTGTCCTTGGTGCTGCCGAAAATGCCCGTCTTTTCTCAAATGTCACACCAACCTGTGTATTTGGGCTACATCAGTGTCGTTGTTTGCAGAATATCTTTCTGTAAACGAAGTTTAAAATCTGTATACTTTGCATCACTGTGTTATCACGAGTCACGCAGAGGAGGTGACAACAGTCACGCAGAGGAGGTGACAACAGAACAAAGGTTATTCTACTCTGGTGAGGGTCAACTGACAGCCAGAGTCTAACAATTTTGGTTAAAGAAATTTGAGTTAGCTCCCAAACCCCCAGCGCCCCACACAGGCTGTCTCCTTGTGAGTGGGGTGTGACAGATAATTAGGTAGGAAAGATATCTTTTTCTCCTGGTGTTAGGGGACTCCGGCTACCTGGAAGCCCCGCCCCGCCCTCTAGTGCGCCTGCCCAGTGGCTCTGACGCTAGCACGAGCCCCACCCCCTTCCAGAGCGACCACTGGCTTCGGAGGCGGGGCCTGAGCACAAGATGGCCGCTACGCGTTCGGAGGCCCCGAGTCCGAGCTCGGCGGCCCCGGAGCCGCGATCCCCGGAGCCGCCGGACCTGGTGCGGGCGAGAAATAGGCCTGGGCGGGGGGTGGAGGGTCGAGGTGGAAAGAGGTGGCAGGGCAGGGGGCGGGGTCAGGGTGGGGCCTATGAAGGCTGAGCGTGGGAGGTATTTAGAGCTCCGGCCCTGGGGGCGGGGCTTCTCGGGTTGGCGAGGGGCAGGGTTTAGGGGAGCCTATGGGGGTGGAGGGGCGGGGCTTAGCGGGGCAGGGCCTGAGGAGGCGTTGTGGGAACATCTGGGTCCTGGGAAAGGAGTCCCAGAAATTTAGTCTAATTGAGAGGCGGGGCCTCTAGAGGGGCGTGGCCTCCGAGAGACATTCTGGGGCTAGTGAATTGGGGTAGAAGGTTGGGAAGGTGACCCTGAAAGACAAGGGTGGGGGGTTACGAGGAGCACCAACGTTGGGGTTGGGGGGTGATTCTGCAAGGGTCTGAGCAATGCGTCTCGAATGCCCAAAGGAGGATTTGGAGGGGGAGAAATGACTGTTCCAGGTGACTTTGGACTGGAGAGTAACTAAGGACAGCCATTCATCCAACAAACATTTACCAAGCTCCAACTTGGGCTCAGTAGTTGGATAGGTGAACAATACATAAGGACTGTACCCTGGAGTTTGCAATCTAGTAGGGAAGATGGACAATAAAGATTTATTGTGTTATGTTCTAGAAAGGAAATAAAGACGGATCTGCTAAAGTGGGGGTAGGGGAGCTAAATTTAGACAAGAACAGTCAGCTGTGTGCCGGCTTATGTTTACACTATGGTCAGAGAGATAAGCAGGAGCCAGGTCTCATGGATATTACGATGACACTTTTGGATTTTAAGTGCAGTTGGAGCCACGGGAGCATTTTGAGTGGCCAAAATGACTTGATCTGATTTCCATTCTCCAAAGGTCGTTCAGGCTGCTTTGGGGTGGTGGGTTCTAAGGAGCAGGCTAAGAATAAAGAAAGGTTCAGGAGGCTTTTTCAGTTGTCGAGACAAGAAATGATTGGCTTTTAAGTGGGTGGAGGAAAGACATGGCTAGATCCTACCATATTTTGGACAGGAGGGGAAATCTTGATAGGGATACAGCACAATCTTGGAGGATGGAGAGCAGGATCTAGAAGTTGAGGGGGCCCGGTATGCTACAAAAAGGAGATATTTAAATAAGTGGGAGCGTGTTGGGGAGCCCTTGAGGCAGAGTCCACAGGCTCCTTGTTTCTTCCTTCTCCTCCCCCCCCCCAGGTACTGTTACCTGATGACAGCCGTCCCACCACACCCCCAACTGACCTCATCGAGATCCAGGTGGTGAAGGTGACAGACACCACACTAGTACCTGAACCCCCGGAGCCAGGTTCCCTTCACTGTGCCTTGTGCCCAGCTGCCTTCCGGCTGGTCTCCGAGCTGCTGTTCCATGAACATGGCCACCTGGCCGGGGCTGAGGGTGGTGGTCAGGGTGGGGACCTAAGCCGGTGTCATGTCTGTGGCCACAGCTGCCCGGGCCCCGCCAGCCTCCGCGCCCACTACAGCCTGCACACGGGAGAGCGCCCCTACCGCTGCGCCCTCTGCCCCCGGGCCTTTAAGGCCCTGGCGCCTCTACTGCGGCACCAGCACCGGCACGGGGTGGAGCCGGGGACCTCTCAGAGGCCCCTGGAAACGACGGCGACTCGGGGACAGAGGCCAGGGGTACCCCCAGAGCGGTCGGAGGTAGTGATGGCAGCGGCAGTGGCGGGCGCAGCTGTGGGGAAGCCCTTTGCCTGCAGGTTCTGCGCCAAGCCGTTCCGCCGCTCCTCAGACATGCGCGACCACGAGCGTGTGCACACCGGCGAGCGGCCCTACCACTGCGGTGTCTGTGGCAAGGGCTTCACGCAGTCATCGGTGCTGAGCGGCCATGCCCGCATTCACACGGGCGAGCGCCCCTTCCGCTGCGCCCTCTGCGATCGCACTTTCAACAATTCCTCCAACTTCCGCAAGCACCAGCGCACCCACTTCCATGGCCCGGGCCCCGGGCTCATAGACTCTGGAAGCCAGCTCGTGGCGGGGGCGGAGGGGCCAGGGAGTGGGTGCGGGGCGGGAAACACTCTGGAAGAGGGGCATGGGGAAACAGCGACTATGAAGGTGGAGGTTGACCAGTAGGCCGGGAGAGCAGGGACACTGGTTGTCAACATGGGAGGTAGGAGGTGGATTGCAGGGGAGGGGGTGGGTGGGACAAGGAGGCGAGTGACAGAAGACCGGAGACTGGGCGAGAGAGAACACAAGGCCATGAACAGTGTGGGAGAGCAGAGAGATGGCCAGATTGAGGGTGCCCACAAACCCACAGGGCACCTGCAAGAGATTCAGAGAAAGGCACAGACTGCCCTGTGGATGTCCAGCTAAATGCAAGGATCACAGGATGGACGTCATTGCCCCATCTGCCTGCTCCTTGGGTCGTCCTTGTGCAAGACACAGTATGTCACAACAAAGCCTGCACACTACACAGGGGGAGCCAGGGTTGAGTGGAAGGGCAGATACAGGGTCTACCATAGTGTTCCCTGGACAGACCTTCATCTGCAGAACGCTGTACTGTCTTGGGGCCTAGGGTGGACCAGGATGGAATCTTTTGCCTACCTCACTGGGTTGCATTGAACATGAGATGCCTACCCACCCAACCTCAGGCAGAAGACACCAGCCAGGTCCTCCATAAAAGACTGGGATCCCATCACCTTGAAGCCAGAGGGTCCCCAAGTCATAGCTGAGAGCACTTGAGCTTCAAGGATGTAATTGTGACCAACCATATGTTTCTGGACTCCAAGAGCTGCTACCCCTGCTCCCATGGTGGTCCCCCCTTAATCCACCAGACTCCTCTTCCCAGGCAACTGAGAATGCAGACAGCCAACAACTGCCTAACACCCCCTCCTAAAGCTTTAGTCTCAGAGCCCACGGCTCCCCATGTCTACAATAGCCTCAGGTTTCTCTAATGTCCTCCACTCCCAGTCAGAAGCAAACAACATACTGCCTGGTCCCAGGCTACTCCAAGGAAGAGTCATCGGATGGCAGCATGGTGGCTGGCTGGTGTGCGGTGCGTGTGCAATGAGAGTGGGGGTGGGGGAGGACTTGGGAGCTGGAAGTGGAAGCCTCCAGTTCTATTCCTATTAAAGGACTTTCTGAAGGGTTTTCCAATGTCAGTCTTGTGTTTGGGTTACTGTGCTTGGGGGATGGGGTTTGAGGGGCCACATTGTGGTCTTGCTGCCAACAGTGAATTGTAGCATATCTCTCTCCACACTTCTTTAGAATGGGTATGGACAGCATCTGGCTATCCAGAGGTGGTGTGATTCAGCTGTTGGAGTGGGGGTCAGGGAATTTTGGCAAAATGAAGGGACTCCTGTGGTCGGTATGCTTATTAAGGAGGGAGAGCCCAGATTTGCACACTCCTGTTCACCCAACAACATTCCCCATGAGATAACACAAAGACTAGTCATAACATGAACGGAACTCTGTTTCCCCCCAAAGAAACACCTGTGTTTCCTATGAGCCAGACACCTGGGCAGGTCCCTTTACACTTTCATTCCTCATCCATTTACCTAACCCCTTATGAGTTTCCTGCTATGGATCCAGTGAAATATCTCTGGAATCTGAACTTTTTTTTTTTTTTTAAGCTTAGCCATCCTGCCACCTGTTGGCAGCTCAGCTCTGGCTGTGAATTGAACCAGTGACCCTGTTGCTCAGAGCTCACACTCTTGAGTGAGCTCTTAACCAACTGAGCCACTCAGCCGGCCTCTGAACGCTCCTTTTAACCATCACTATTGTAGACAAGCCAACGATGACCTCACATTGGGAGACCATACAGCAGTCCAGCCTCCAGGCCCTCCCCTCTTCATTCTCCATCCTGCAGCCACATGGATCCTTCAAAAACACAGATCCCAACTTTGTCACCAACCCACAGCTTCTTGTGATTTTTAGGAGTCACAAACATGAATGCCTGTAGGAGCTGGGTGGCAGTATAAATGAGGACGTTAACCGGGTTCAAGCGGAAAATACAGCAGCCACAGTGAGGTGAAATATGGAGACTGACGCTTGGGCTCAGATTTGGGATTGGGGGAGTGGTGAGAACTGGTGGCAGGCAAGAGTGTGCTCCGGTTGAATGGCTACTCAGCTCGGGAGGAGGCAAACCAGGTTGCTAGATCGTCCAAAACTTTCAGAAGTTGCATTTTTCATATTATGTATAATCTTCTGATTTTCAAATGTTGGCAACTAAGTCCAATTTTTATCTTTTTTTTTTTTTTAATGCATGGGCTAAACAAAAGGCATCAGTGGCTTGGATGCAGCCTGGCAGCTGCCAGCTTCCAGCCTCTGGGGCCATCCAAGCTCCACCATTTGGAACCCAAGGCCCTTCAGGATCCAGCCTCTCACACCCCAACCCCTCCAGCCATACTAATCTATTTGAAATTCTCTGGAATAGCTAGGGTTAGCCAGACATTAAACCCTTCACCTGGAATCCATTGCCCACTTTACCTGGCAAGCCCTGTGTCTTTGTCATTGTTCAGGCATCACCTTCTCCAGGAAGCTGGTTTGCCCCCCAGTCTGATTAAGGAGACTCTTCTATGCTCTGAGCCCCAGTGTCCTTTACAGTGTGGTGCTCCACGTCCATGTGACTTGAACCCTGGGGTGCTGGCACAAGGTCTCACACTGGGTCATCAGCACTAGAGCATGGTGGCCACCCTTGTGTGTGTGGGTGAAACAACTCATCAGGCAGTGCCCACTGACCTGACTTTGTCTTCAAGCTTCACACTGTTCACCGAGGCACCTGGGCCTGTCTGTAGTCTAGCTCTCATGAATCTGCTAGATGTCCTTAGAACCTTTCTTCTCCAGGACCTCAGTGTCCTCTTCTGACTAAACACATGTTGCAGGGTGGATATCTCACTGCTCGGAGATCCTAAGTGAGGGCTGTGAAAGGGCTTTTGGGGTATCCCCAAGTTACCCTGGAGGGATGGGTGCTACGAGCAAGCGGTACCATAACAAGAAGTCCACACAAGGCTGGAATACAAAAGGGCTCACCAGGACTTCTCTTCCATGTCACTCAGGGGTAAGAAGGCTGTCCCATTTGTTTCCCAGCACCCAGCAAAGGGCCCTGTAGACAGGGGCTTGGGGATATGTGGTCTGAGTGAACAAATGCCAATGGTAGCTTGAAGGGGAAGAGTCCAGGTACACTGTCAGCTCCTGAGAGCAGAGACTTACCTGTCTTGTTGATCTGCTGTCTGCCCAACTCACAGATGGACACTTGAATGTGCTAACTCCTCAGAAAGCACAGGGGGGTGAGGAAATCCAGAGCATGGGGAAGAGGCAGAGGGTACAGGAGGATGGAAATCCCAGGGAAACAAAGTTGTCAACCTTCCATTTGCCAGCGTTTGACCCCCTCTCCCTGTGATGTAAGAAAGGACCCTGTTGCCCTGGTGATAAGGTTTATTATCTCTGCTCTGTACAAGCCGCGTCGGCCACCCCACCCCCCACCCCACAATCCAAAAGAGCGCCCAGGCCCCCATGTGCCCTCCCAACTCTGTTCATATCCCACTGTCCAGCCAGATCCCAAAGGAAGGGGGATGAGCAGTTCATGCCCATCTCCACCGAAGCTTGTGGGGGAGAATGCTGCTGGGGTGGGGGACTGAAGGAGGTTATAAAACGGGGTCGGATGGAGGATCAAGTTCAGTGTTGGACAGGATGAGAGGGCCAGGGAGGTCGAGGTTGGGAGTGATTCAGCCTTGAGTTTGTACAGCATGGCCTTGAACGGGGCTAGTCTGTCTGAAGTTCTGAAGGATAAAGGGGGCAACAGCAAGGATGGGGGAGGGGCAAGTCTGGAAGGGGACAACTGAGTGGAGAGGCAGATGTGAAGCCCTCTGGTCAGGTCTCCTTCCCAGCCAAGGTGCTGGCCCCTGCTCCAGGACCCCCGAGGCCCTCGGCCTTGTGGGCCAGGCGGTGTTTCTTGAGGCCGTAGGTGTTGGCGAAGCCCTCGCCGCAGGAGGAGCAGCGGAAGGGCCGGCCACCCTGGTGGGCTGCCAGGTGCTTGCGGAAGTAGCCAGGATCCTTGAAGGCCTTGAGGCAGGCGGGGCAGCGGAGCTCGGGCCGTGGCGGCTCATGGGCACGCTGGTGGCGCAGCACAGAGCTCAGGTAGAAGAAGCCCTTGCCACAGTGCTCGCAACGGTAGGCGCGCTCGCCCAGGTGCAGCCGCTGGTGCTCCAGCAGGTTGGAGCGGTAGCGGAAGGTCTTGCCGCAGGCGCCGCAGCGTTGGGGCCGGGCCACGGCGTGCAGCCGCCGGTGCTCCGCAAGGCTGGATGACTGCGCGAAGCGCTTGGCGCACACACCACACTTGAAGGCCCGCTCGCCTGTGTGCACCACGCGGTGCTGCCGCAGGTACCAGGAGCGCAGGAAGCCTCGGCCGCACACACCACACCGGTAGGGCCGCTGCTCCGTGTGGCAGCGTTGATGGCGCATCAGCAGGGCCGCCTCCCAGAAGCGCTTGCCACACACAGGGCAGCGGAAGCCCCTCTTCTGCCGGTGGCTGCGCCGGTGCAGGAGCAGGTCGTAGGCGCCGGCAAAGCTCTGGCCACAGAGGCCGCAGCCCAGGGTCCGCCGCACCAGGTGCACGTACTTGTGAGTGACTAGGCCCAGGAAGTGCTTGAAGCTCTGGCCGCATGTGGCGCAGCTGAAGCGCTCGGGGCCCGAGCTGGTGCCCCCGCCGCCCCCGGCCCCTGCTGCCCCACTGGCGTCATCGCCCCCTGACACCCCTGCCAGTGCCGCCACGGCCGCCCCAACCTCCCCCGCCAGCCCATTGTCCAGCACGCTGGCCGCCTCGGAGCCGCCAGAGCCATCCGGAGGCTGCGGGCCACCGGGAGTGGCCGGGAGCAGGCGCTCGGGGGCGGCCTGGTGGACCAGCTTGTGCCACATGAGGTTCTCAATGAAGCCGAAGGTCTTACCGCAGGCGTCGCAGCCGTAGGGCTTCTCCGCCATGTGGGCTTCCTTGTGGCTCATGACGTGGAAGAGATCCGGGAAGTGCTCGCCGCAGTCCGAGCACGCGTAGCTCAGGCCCTCAGTGGCGCCTGCAGATGTGGCTGAGGCGCCTGGGCCACAGGCCCCCGGCGCTCCCTGGGTGGAGGGGAGGCCAGTAGCTCCGGCCAGGGCGCAGGGAAGCTGCAGCCGGTGCACCTGACGATGGCGCGTCAGGCTCTGCGGGTAACCGAAGACCTTGCCACAGAGCTCGCACTTGTAGGGGCGCTCGCGGGTATGCACCACGTGGTGCTTGCTCAGGTGGAAGGACTCGCGGAAGCGCTTTCCACACACCGGACACTGGTGTGGCTTCTCACCCGTGTGGATGCGCTCGTGGCGCTTCAGGGTCTCGCGGCGCCCGAAACCACGCCCACAGATGCCACAGCAGAACGTCTTCCCAGGACCGCTGGTGCCCGCACCACCCGCCCCGCTCGTCCCTGCACCACCAAGCAGCAGTGGGTGTGCTCCCAGAAGTGGCACGGGCACAGCGCCATACACCACAGCTGCCGCGGCCGCTGCGGCCTTCTCACTGTCAGTGGCAGGGGCGTCGGGCGGCAGCAGGTAAGGGCCTGGGGGGAAGGCAGCCGTGGGCTGCGGGATAGTGGCCGCTGCATCCTTGGGCACATCGGAGGCGGTGGGTGGCGCATGCGCGGCCTTGTGGCGGAGTAGGCTCTGTGGCGCTGAGTAGGACTTGCCACATAGGTCGCAGGGGTACACAGGCCGGGGCCCTGCCGTACCCGCGTGCGCTGCCTGGTGCTTGAGCAGGTAGGCGGCATCACGGAAGGCCTTGCCGCAGACCCCGCAAGGCAGGCGCAACAGGTCCGCCGAGTGCGTCTTCACGTGGCGTTTGAGGCTCTCCCTGCGGTTGAAGCTTTTGCTGCACACGGAGCATGAGAAAGGCTTCTCGCCCGTGTGGATGATCTGATGCTGGTGGAGGTGGCTGGGCTTCTTGAAGACCTTCCAGCAGAGCGGGCAGGCGAAGGGGCCCTCACCGCCCCCGGCCGCTGGCGGGGGCGCCCCCACACCAGCTGGTGTTCCGGGGGCTGCGTTCCCATCGGCTGAGGCAGTGGGGGCTGCGGGTGTGGCGGACGGGCCAGTGGGTACTACGGTGGGGGCACCCCCTCCGGTGGCAGCGGACGTGGGCAGGCCCAGCGACGGGAGAGGCGCACCCGGCTGCGCTGGGCCTCCGGCGGCTGGCGGCACGTCCTTGTGACAGCGGCGGTGGCGGATGAGGCTGGATACGTGGTTGTAGGTGCGACCACAGACGCCGCACTCGTACGGCCTCTCCCCTGAGTGCACCAGCATGTGCTGGACCAGGTGCGATGACTGCTTGAAGGACTTCTGGCACACGCCGCAGGGGAAGCGCCGCTCCATCAGGTACTTCAGCCTGCGGAAGTAGCCCTTGTCGTCCTTGGTGGGGTCGCAGGCCGCCCCTGCGGCGGGCCCCGGTGGGGTCTGCGAAGGGGAGGGGAGCGGCCCAGGGGTCCCCACGGCAGTGGCCAACCCCGGAGTCACCCCCGGCCCAGATGCTGGCCCTCCACGTTTCAGGTTCCCAAACAGGTGCTGGTGTCCCGAGAGGTCAACGATGCCCCACTGCGGGGCGGGGAAGGCAGCATCAAAGAGCGGGGGCGGGGGTGCCCCGAAGGCGGGCGGCAGGGGCGGGTCAGGCTTCTTGGACTGTGAGGATGACGAAGACGAGGATGACGAAGACGACGACGACGAAGGTGCCTCAGCCTTGGGCTTGAAGGTAGACTGCGGCGGGTAGTCATACTGAGGCGGTGGGGGCTGTGGCGGGGGTTGCGGTGGGGGGCCAGGGGTGCAGGGCAGAGCCGCCACCGCCTTGGCGTGCTCCCCATACAGCTCCATAGGCTCGAAGCGCTGGTGGTTGAGGAACTCGAGGAAATCGAAGGGGTAGCTCTGGAAGTGCACCCCGTCCTCGCCCCCGATGCCGCCGCCTCCGCCTCCGCCGCCCGCCGCATTTGCCTCCATCTCCACCAGGAGTGGAGTGCGAGACCCTGTGGAGAAGAGGATGCGGCTGAAGAAGCAGTACTGGGTGCGGGTTCTCCCCATTGTGAATGGGACGGTGTGCGCTGCAGACTCACGTCCATCTCTCATACCTTTTCCAGGTCCTCACACATCTCTGTCCTCCCCCAGACCTCTACCCTCAGCACTGTTGGCAGGCCTCTTTCTCTCCTTCTCAAACCCTAATTCTCCCAGCACCCCTGGCACCTGGTCTCAGTCCCCTCTGCAAACTCTCAGGCCTCTGCTCTGTGTGCCACCCCCCACCTGCCCCACACACACCAGCCCTCTGTTCCCAGTCCCTTCAGGTTTGGCCTCTTGTCATAATAGTTTCCATCAAAGTTGAAAGTATGGCCTCTGGAGCCAGAATGCCAGATTTGAATCTAAGCTGTGTGATCAGAAGTACCTGAACCTCTCTGTACCTATACTTCCTCATCTACAAATGGCGGTGACAAAGCACACCCCCACCTCACAGGGCGGCTGTGAGGATCCAATGAGCTGATATAACAAGCCCCTCGGGTGGCTGGTCCCTGGCATTCTGTAAGCAAGCACTCGGTAAGTGGAAGCTATTACATTGTCATTGCTGTCAATACTGGTAGGAACAGAAAGTCAGCACAAACCAAGAGAATCGGAATGAAGACAGTGTTGGGAGGGGTATGTTCTTTCCCTACAAGGTGGGAAGGCCAATATGCAGGCCTGGGACAAACAGGTTACAGCAGGGGGCTGGCAGAGATGGAAGGCAGAGATGGAAGGCAGCCTACCACAGCAGTAAATGCCTGGGCCTGGGCAGACCAAGTCCCATCTACTTCCCACATGTTCTCCATTTCTAAAGAGGCAGGAAACCCTAGACTGCAGGGGGACTTAAAGGGGCTGATGTAGGATGCAAGGAAACACACCAGTGGTTGGCAGAGCTCCCTTTGTATCTGGAGCTCTTTGTACCTTCAGTGACATCACTCGCCTGGGCAGAGCCTGATGGCAGAAGCTCAGGGAGCCTTTTCCCACCCCCTCCGAGATGGTGGTCATTCTCTGGGCACCTCCTTTACAGGGCTTTTCATTCCAGACTCCAGCTGCCCATGTCTGCCCCCTCCCCCAGCCTTGGACCCATCCAGGGGTCTTGGCAAATGCCTCCGCCAAGTTGGGGGCGAGCCAGTGGGAGAAGGGTCCCCGAAGTCTGGCACGCTTCTTGGCTAACTGTCCCAGTCTCTGACCCCTGGGTGCCTGGCTCTGTATCCAGCCCGAGGTAGGGGGTCGGTGGGACCCACCAAGGCCAAGGCATGTCAGCCCCCATCTGCCAGGCTGGCTCGCTCCCCCCCACAGGTGAAAGGTGAGTGTCTCCTCCAGCCCCGCCTGGAGGTGGTATTTTTAGCCTTCAGCTCTTGGTTGTCCTTGGAGGAGACCCAACATCCCATGTCCTTCACACCGTCTGGTTCATCTCATCTCTGGAAGGAGCAAAGGCGTGCCTGGCATGGGAGTAGAAGCCTGAGGTGGAACCTCAGTGGGGAGAAAGCACTCAGTGGAGTGCTTGGTGGGCATGGAGAAAACACAGGGTACAAGGGTGCAGGGAGGGAAGGTGTCTTGAGGAATAAGCCAGTGCCCGGGCTCACCTCCATCAGAGCAAGTATTACTGACAGCTACCCTTGACCGGGCACTTCCTACAGGCCAGCACCATTCTAAGCACGTCACACAGACTGACTCACTAAATCCCTACCACAACTCCACGAGACCATGACACAAGGGCTGTGGTTATCCCCACCTGGCAAATGAGAACACAAGGCACAGAGAGGTCAAGTGATTTGCTCAAGGTCACAGAGCAAGTCTGTGGCATGACCCACCCCTCCCGCCACATGGTTGTTCTCCCATGGTTGTTCCCTGAGGTGGAGAAAGGCAAGAGTGGAACTATAGGGGTAGGACCCTTCTTTGGGGGCGTTCTCTGGGTTATGAGGGGTGAGAGAGTGAGGTGGTCACCATTCTGAGCAGGAGCAACAGTGATGTGATGAGACTGCCCTCTGCCTGGAACATTCTTCTCCAGATCTCAAGACTCTTCTCCTGTGCCTCCTTCTGGTCTCTGCTCACATGTCACTTCCAAGAGGGATGACACCCCCCCCCACACCCCCAAATTACTTGCTAGGCCCTCATCCTGCTGCATTTTTTCATCATGGTTATTGCCACCAACTTATGGTGTCTATCTCCTTATGGTGTTTCCTGTCTGTCCCCCTCACCTAACAGCAAGGACTTGGCCCGCTATGTTAGCCAATGTACCCCAGCACCTAGCACAGCGTCTGGCACAGTATGGGTGTTCCACAAATATCTGTTGATATGTGGAAATGAAACAGCACCCTTCTAAATCACCAATGGGCCCACAAAGAAATCACCAAAGAAATTAGATGAATGAAAATGGAAACGTGTCGCACTTGGGAAATGCATCTACAGCAGTGCTCAGAGGTAAATTTATGACTATAAATGCCTATGTTAATAAATATTTGTTGAATGAGTGAAGGGATGAGATTAAGGTGACCAGAACTCCACTAGGAAGAGAGGGAGACATTTAGCAGAGATGGAGCTGACATCTAGGGGGTTTTCCAGAAGGAATCTGGGGGGCAGTGAGGTTATGAGGAGGGCCCAAAGGGCTGCCCCTGACAGAGAAGCAGGGGTGTTCTTGGGGGACAGAACTGACCAGGCTCATGATTATTTCCACAGGGAAACAAGAGACATTTCCACTTTCGGGCGGCCCAGGCCTTACATTGGTGCCTTTCTAAGGGGATATGTATCACGGGAGGGTTTCCTGCAGAGGCATGATGGGGGAATGGTCCCAAGGGACAGGAGTCCCACAGCAACTACAGTCACAATCCTAATAGCTCGTGTTTATTGTTAGACAAGTTTGATAGGAACGTCTTGATGCATCACAATAGTCCTGTGCCATTATTGGTCTCATTCCATAAGTGGGGAAACTGAAGAAATGGGGCTCTCTCTGATGCCAGGACCTGTGGGCCATTCCCCTGTAACAAGCTGCCTTGTGATAAAATTCTCATCTGTTAATCACAATAACAGTACATCTAATAACATGTGACATTGAATGAGTTCTTTCCACATACCAAGTACACCTCTAAATCCTTTACACATGTTGATTCAATGAATCTTCCCAATAGCCCTAGAAAATTGTTACAATTATTAACTCAGTTGTACAGAGAAAGAGACTGAGGGCCAGGGAGGTAAATTAATCTCCTAAAGTCACACCACTAACAAGCGGCAGGGCCAGGAGCTGAAGGCAAATGGTAGATCTCCAATGTGGGTGCTATTACCCCCTACAACATGCTGTCTTTCAATATTTCTCCAAAATAAAGGAAGGTTCCCCACTCCACCTTTTACTGCAAATGTTCTTTGTCTCACTTCCTAGGACCACCAACCCCAGGACTAGTCACCAGCATTTACTGAATGCTATTACTAGGTCCTTTATGTGGCTTGTTTCAATCAAACTTTACAACGAACTTGTAAGATAATTTAAAGACAAAAGGACTAAGGCCAAACCATGACCCTCCTCTGCTCAAAACCCTGCAGTGACCCCCATCTCACTCAAAGTCAAAGTCCTTATGATGGCCTACACAGCCCCCACAGCCTCCTGGCTGCTCCTCCAATGGGCCAGCTCCATTCTTGCCTCACGGCCTTTGCATTAGCTGTTGCTTCTGCCTGAAATGCTCTGACTTCCACATATACATGTCTCACCCCCTCCCTCCTTCACATCCTTGCTCAAATGTCATCTTCTCAGTGAGGCTTTCCATGACCACTGCAACCTGTCACCCAGACCAACATTCCTGCTCTCCCCAGCCTACTTCATTTCTATTTACTAGTTGGCATCACTAATTAACCATGCATTCTGTCTTGGTGGTGGTGTCTCCCCCTCTAGAAGGTAAACTCCATGCACACAAGGATTTTTATGTTTTGTTCACTGCTTTATCCCCAGAACCTAGCACAGTGCCCGTCTTCGAAAATATTTGTTAAACAAGTGAGAATGAGGCTAGGAAAAGAGGGAGTGGTTTGCTCAGAGATATGAACACTTGTGGCATCCAGGGCTCATCCTATTAATCATTTCAGTCTTGGGGGAGGGGAGCTGGTAAGAGCAACCCCTGGGTGGCCACAGCTGTCCAGGAGGAGGAGATAATTTTTTGGTACGTGGCTTTTTGGAGGGACAAGATAATGATAAGTACCTCTTAAAGAAGCCCTCCTACCACCCTCTGTGACACCGTAGCCCCATAGCTCTATATCCTTATCCTGCTGCATTTTCTTCACATACATGTAGTTTGTTTGCTCAATTGTCTGCCCTGTGAATTAGCATATGCACTTCACAAGGAGAGGGAGTTTTGTCTATTTTGTTCTCTGCTGCATGCCCAGTGTGTAGCCACCTACACATTAAACAGCTGTTGACCAATGAACGAACAAATGAAGTACATTCTAGGCTTGGTAGAGCTGACAAAGGCCAGATAATGATCACAATGCCCTCATCTCCAAGGCCCTGAGATCAATCTCTCAGGCCTCCCCTGCTACTCTATGGTCATGGCTACCTCAGGGCCCTTGCACTGCTCTTCCCTCTGCCTGGAACAGTTCACCAAGATCTTCGCATGACTAAGTGCTAATTCAGGTTTCACCTCTGAAGCAGCTCACCAGACTCTCAAACAATCCAGAAAACCGCATTTATCTTGTTTATTTGTTTACTTGTTTTTGGTCTGTCTCCTTAACTAGGCTGTAAAACCCCACAAAAACAGACTGTGTGCATTTATCTTTCCTTCATGGCTGCATGAGCTGGACCTAGAACAGTGCACATCCATTCAATGAAGAATGAATGAATGCCTGGGGAAGAAACAGCTCATGCCCCAGTAAAGCTGGGGGTCTTTTCCAGGGAGTCCAGGAAGATGGAGTGAGAGCCGGGTGAGAAGGGCCAGGTCAGGACAGACTTGCTAGTGCAAAGCAGGTGCATTTTGAGAGGGAAGGCCTCACTGTGGGGCACTGCTCTGTGGGAGGAAGGACCAAAGATAGAAGCTGACCGAGAGAAGGATGGAGTGGGAGCCGGGGGCTAAATTGGCAGCTGTTTCTACCTGAAGGGGGAGAAGATGTGGGTGTGAGAACACACCTCTAGAGGGAGCTGTTCTATGGGGGGAAAGGGGGTGTTGAAAGGGGTCTTTTCAAGGGGAATTGTGGGGGGGGGTGCAGAAGGAAAAAAAAGCATTCTGACCAGACTTGAACGTATTTTTACGCCAATGAAGAGGGGGCTTCGGAGCTTTGAAAGACTGTTGTGTGGACATAATGGGGGGGCAGTTCTGCTGTAAAATACTAATGCAACACTCCTTGGGGGCAACTTACAGAGGCTGAAAGAGGGTTCACGGGTAGCTGCCCTGCATGGGGGAGGGCAATGCTGGTGGCATTTGGGGGGCTGTCTTGGAGGAAACAATCACTGGAGGCTATGTAGAAGCGTTCCTATGAGAAAGCATTAGTGGAGGGCCCTGGCAGCACTTTAGGGGAGCGACACTAATGAGGGCGCTTTGGCAGCCGTCCTACATGGGGGCGTTAATGGGGCAGATATCTGAAGCGCTCTTATGGGGGAGCAGTGATGGGGGTCCCCTGGCGAGGGCCCGGCGGGAACACTGATGGGGACGTTCTGAGGACTAGAGCGGGCCTGGGCGGGACCCCCCGCCCCCGTTATCCCCGGACCCCCGGGCCATGCGCCCCGTCACTCACCGGCGCCGGGGTCTCCGCCGGGAGGAGGCCGAGGAGGCGGAGGAGGCGCCGCCGCTCGGGTTAGACCCGAGGGCCTGACCGGAAGTGCCGCCCCCTCCCCCTCCCCGGCAGCCCTGAGCCGCCTGCCGAGCCGCCTGCCCGCCCGCCCGGAAGCGGAAGTCGCGCCTGACTCCGAAGCGCCGGCGTGGAGGAGCGGAAAGAGGAGGCGGTGGCAGCAGAGACCGAGAGAAGGAAGTGCGCCTGCGCTCTGGCTCAGGACAGTAGGCGGGGAAAGCCTGAGGCCACTTCCGGTGGGCGAGCTGAGGAAGGTGCGCCTGCGCCCTGAGCGCCCGCTTCTTCTTGGGGTACTGCCCACACGCTTGGGTCATCCGGTTAAACCATGCCCCTCGCGCAAACGTCACACTTAATCCCCACCCCAGCCTGAGTCTCGCTCATTCGGAGCTTAATTATCATAAGCCACACCCATCAACTCAAAATTCGTCCTCCTTGCCCCAGGCCCCGGAATTTTCTCCCGTTCTTCCCCACCTCCAAGCCCCTACTACTCTCTAGATCCCACCTCTCCCTCCTAAGCACCGCCCTCAGCCACGCCTTTTTCCTATAGACCCTCCCCTCCAAGCTTCACAGGCTAAACCACGCCTCCTTTATTCAGCCCCGCCCCCCTGCCCCAAAGTATTTAAGCTCCACCTCTCTCATAACTTCAACCTGATGTTTGTGCCTCGCACCTCTAAGGCATTCCCTTAAATCATTGGTTCTCAAACTATGGTCCAGGGACCAGCAGCAGCAGCAGCACTTTGGAAATTGTTAGAAATGTAAATTCTCAGGCCCCCTGCCCCAGAATTTCTGAATCAAAAACCTTGGAGGTAGGGCCTAGGGACCTGTGTTTTAAAATGCCCTTCAGGTGAAGTACAGACTTCCAGTTCTAAAGTAAGTCACAGGGATGTAATGTGCAGCATAAGGAAATATAGTCAATAATATCATAATAACTTTGGTGACAAATGATAACTAGGCTTATTGTGGCCATTTTTTACTGTATAGAAATATCAAATCACTGTTGTACACCTGACACTATAATATTGCACGTCAAGTACAAGTCAATTTAAAATAAAACACCCTTCAGGTGATTCTGTGCAGGTTGAAGTTAGAACCACAGCTTTATTATACTTTGCACGGCCCATCATAAATCTCTGTAAACCTTGCTCCTAACTCAGCCATACCCCAAACAGCTAAGCCCAGCTCTATTCACCCCATCTTGCTAAGCTCCTCCTCTCTCAGGGACTTCCTTTAGTCACTTCTCTCTTAGGCACCCTTTTTTCCTCTCCTTGGCCTGAACAGTAGCAGTCATACCCACCCCTCGGGCATCTTAACAGTTAAGTCCCTCCTCTCCTGACACCTAGTTCTCATAGTTTCCCCTAAAGCCCCTCCCCTCACATAAACTCTATCCATTCCCTCTAAATTACTCTCTTTCTCCTGTGTTGTCCCTAAACCAATTTAAAATTCTTATAGCCCCTTCCCCCAAGCCCTGCCTATAGTTCTCATCTACTTGGCCAATAAGCCTTGCCGCTCAGTCCCAGACCCGCCTCCTGACTCTTAGCCCCGCCCCTCCAGGCCACACCCCTTGCCTACCTACTCTTTACTAAAGTTGTCAGTTCTGTCCACAACCCACAGCTCAATTTTTCCTTCCAAACAGGGTCAGGACAAAGAGATGGGTCAAAATGGTGGCTACAGAATTTCCAAGAATCTGGCTGGAATGGGGCAGAGGGGCCTAAGTCATATTTGCACCGATTGTTCAGTGTTATACTTACAGCAGATATTTAGGGGAGCGTTTTTGGGGTCTGCTGGAGATAGAAGAGGGGACAAAGGCTCCTAAGCCACGCTTTAGCGCCAAACTAATAAGGCACATGACATGGGGTCCTCTCAAATTCCATGCACTCCCATCAGGTGGCAAAGCAGCAGAAAGAAGAAGGGGGCAGCCCTGGTACCATCACTGAACACATGCAGGAGGCCAAAAGGCAGAGATTTATTTCCACAGCCCTTGCCTCCAAGAGCCTGTTAGTCCAGGGGAGGGTGGCAGAAGGCAGCAGGGTCCGGAAGTTTAGGTGCTCACCCACAATCCCCTCCCACAACGGTAAGACCACCAGACATGAGGGTGTCCCGGCCTCCCTGCCCAGGTGGAGCAGCAGCTGAACCCCCAGCTGTAAACCTGGCCCAGGGAGTAGTCCAGTCTGTGAGTCAAGCCAGCTCTTTCCCCTCCCGCTCTTCCTCCTCCTCAGCCCCTGCTGTGGCTGGAATGCCCTCATCGTCCCACGGTGGCTCGGGCCCTGGGTCTGGGGGACACACAGGTGCCCCCATGGCCTCGGGGTGCTTGCGTTTAGCATGTCGCCGAAGCGTGTTGGCATCTGTGAAGCGAAGCCGGCAGACCGGGCACTGGTAGGGGCGCTCCCCGGAGTGGACTCGGTGGTGGTGGGCCAGCTCGCCCGCCTCGCGGAAGCGGCGGGGGCAGAGCGAGCAACGGAAGGGCCGCAGGCCAGCATGGATGTTGCAGTGCCGCCGCAGGTGGCTGGACCGCTTGAAGGTCTTGCCGCAGTCCTTGCACTCGTGTGGCTTCAGCTCAGAGTGCGAGATGCTATGGCGCTCCAGGTCCGAGAGGTAGGGGAAAGCCCGCAGGCACACCGGGCAGAAGTGCGGGGCCTTCCTAGGGCCCGAGCCCTCAGGCCCTCCAGCCACTGACCCTTCAGAAACTGTATAGGGCACACCCTGATCATCGATCAGCAGGAGATCGCTGCCACCGCCGCTGCCCACGGGGACTGTCAACCCCTGCGCCAGCGGGGTCTCCTGCCCTGACTTGGGGGGTCGGCCCCGCTTACGAGGAAGGCAGGCCTTGCGCGTCCAATTGGAGGAGGTGGCCCCCCCAGGACGTCGACCTCGGCGGCCCCGGGGGACAGAAGGAGGTAAGGCCAGAGGTTTCTCTTCCTCCCCAGGCAAAGGCGAAGGCAACGGGTCTGGGCTGGGGGTGTCCATTGAGCAGTGGGGGGCTTGGGTCTGGGCACTGGAGCCGGGCTAAGAGGAGAGAGGGGGCAACCGTCAGAGCAGGGAGGGTTTGGAGAACCCCTTGTCCCCCAACACCTCTCATCCCTCTGTCTGAGTCTCACGACGGGGGCATGGCTGACATTCACCTGGGTGCACAATTATGGCCACGCTGGTGGGTTAAAGAGCAGGATAATTCTGTGCCAGTTGGTAAACAGGCACTGCCCTGAGCCCACAGGAGTTCCTCAGGCCTCCCTAACCCTTGCCCTGGACCTCGAAGGTCAATTTGAGCCAAAATAAAAATCTTCGAGGGAGGACAGAGTCCAAATAAGGGTACCGGCCACTACTGTGATCATCAAGACACAGAGCCCATCAAACCCCAGAGGCACAGAAGATTCAGAAATGTTTTTGTCCCCTCTTCTGATTGGTAGAAGTGAAAGGGAAAGGGAGTTCAGGACCGGACCAAAAAGGGTCCCAGGTGATGTTTGGCCCTGAGTGGTGGATGAGGAAATATATTGGAGCTGTTAGGAGTCTGGGCTCCAGAGTCTGACGTTCTGGGTTCGATTCCTGAGTCTGTAACTTACTCCATGTGGCCTTGGGCAAAATGCTTACTGCTCTGAGCCTCAGTTAAGCCTTCTGCAAAATAGGACAAACAGTTCCACCTACTTGCAGGGACATGCTATGAGGTGCTCAGCACACAGAACTTAGGACATATTAGCCCTCTGAATAAGGGCACAATCACCCTCATTTTGCAAAGGGGGAAACCGGGGCACAGGAAAGCCAAGTCAGTTGTCCAAACTCCCTCTGCCAGGAAATGGCAGGGCCAAGATTCGAACCAGATCTCACGCTGACCCACTGGCCTAGGGAGTAAGAAGAAAGGGACTCAAGGGGACAAGACATCATGGGGTCCCTTGGTCCTCGGTTTGAATCCAGCTCTGTGAAATGGATATACCAGGGTTGTCCGGTGGCACACAGTAAGCACTCAATAAACTACCACCATCACCATCATTATCAGAGCTGGACCAGGGGAGGAAAGCGCAGGTGCAATTATGAGCGGGGTTGTAGGTGCCACTGTGCCCCTTTGGAACAGGCACACAGACTGAGGTCCAGAGGAGGGTAACCCCTTTTACAAGATCGTATGCTTCGCTAGGTTTGGAGGGGCTGGACTACAGCCGGTATCCCGCGTGGCGCCCCCGACCCTCGCCCTCTGCTCCCCGCCGGTCCCGAGCGCGCAGGGCGGGCTCTGCGGGGGCAATGGCCAATGAGCGGCGCCGGGCCGCGGATAGCGAAGGCCGCCAGGAAGGGGGTCTGCGCGCGCGCGCGCCCCGGCCGACTCCGCGAGGCGCTAGGTCGGCGCGCGCGCCGCAGCGAGCGCGGGAGCAGGAGCAGGTGTGGTGGGTGCGCTCCGGGGGCGCGCGG